GGAGGAACCATGGAAATGAGATCCTGGATGTTCACACTGTGCTTGCTGCTACATGGACACAAAATGTTTGAGAAGGTTAGGAGTAGTGTCTGTAATATTAAGTTTTAGATTCACAAAAGCTCTGAGAAATATTTGTTCATGAGGAAATTTAAATTTGAACATAATGCACTTTAAAATAATCTTCACGACTATGATTTTTGTCTTTGATTTGTGTTGCGTTTTCTGTAAAAAGAATTGTAATTCAACAAAAAATACCTTACTAAAGCAAGCTAAAGTTTTTTGCACAAAGTTTGGCTGAATAAAAGCATTCACTGATCTAACAGCATTCTTATTTATTTTTAGTCTGCATAGCAGGTGTAAGGTCACCCAGTGAATGTGACACATTTCCCTCATCAACACTGTTTTTAAAATGTTTCTTCACACCCTGCGGTTGCTTGTGAGGATTTAACAATCTCTATAAGTAAAACAGCTCAGTATTTTTTTCCACAGTAAAAAAGCCTATATATTGAATATACGACGAAAAGGGAACTTCTCATATGTAGTGCTCTTTGAATACACCTCCTGAGAAACAGTTAAATACTATTTCATTTGTCAGAAACAAACCTTCAAATATGATTGTTGTCCCTCTCCTGCCGCCAACTCTCTTTACAGTTAGCTCAACGTTCATTCAACCTTTATTCATACATGTTAGTCGCATTGAGCCTCGAGGACTCATTTACAAGAGAGACCTGAGCTTAACAAAGAATGACGACAACAGTAGTTAAAGTCAAAATGTCTTTATTTGTCATTCGCATTATGTGTGGTACATGTGGTGGAACGAAACTGTGTACACAGGGTCTCGGTTACATCCAACAAAAGTATAAATTGTAAAGAAAAACAGTAATAAGATCTAAATATGAACTAAGACATACGCTAAACTAAGAATACACTAAGCACTAATGGTACACAACAATACACCGAACAACAACAGCACGAACATGAGTCTGTGTGAACAGATGAGCACGAATGAACACAGCAGCATGAAACAGATCAGCAGCATGAAACAGATCAGCAGCATGAAACAGATCAGCAGCAGATATCAACAATTAAAGTGGCTTTTTTTTCACAGTGATTATTCTAGTTAGAGATTCATGAGTCTAACAGCCTCAGGGTAGAAGCTGTTCCTCAGTCTAGTGGTTCTACACTTAATGCTCCTCAACCTCCTTCCTGAGGAGAGTGGGGCAAAAAGTGTGTGTGCTGGGTGAGTGAGGTCCTTCATGATGCAAGTGGACCTCTTCCTGCATCTGGAGGTGTAGATGTCTGTGATGGTGAGGAGGCTGACTCCAACATCTTCTGTGCAGCCTTCACCACTCTCTGCAAAGCTTTTCTTTCTGCAGC